ACCTTTCACGACAACCAAAGCCCCCACTACATGCGGTCAACATGAGTGTCGGTATTTTCGGGGAACCCCTCTTTCTCTAGCACTCGATTGGTTTTTTTTTTCTTATTTTTATCTTCGCACAACTTCACAACCTGTTCTGGTTTTAGCGGATGCTGCAGTCTTTATTGTTCAGAAACTCTTCGTTGCAGTGAACTCAAAAGAAATGATAAACGATAAAAAAAACCTACAAACGCCAGGAGTGGATGACCTTATCCATTATCCGTCACCGATTTGCCTTTCATTGGTATCTTTAACAACCCAAAAACGCGCAGACTTGTGGCTTATTCCTCGTAGTTTCTTGGAAGCTCTTCGTCTTTACTGGATCCACTCTGCAAAACTCACGTGGTCCATACTTCAGCTGCACTGCGTTTCGTCTCGCGTCAAGGTAGTTTCCTGTAGCGCGAGTGGAAGCCAGTGCGTGTTTTCTAGGCCTATCGGCGACAGGCGGACGTTGTGAAAGTTCCGTGCGCTAAGTAAAAAAAAAACAAAAAGCTGTGCCTCGCTTTACATTTCTGCGCGTACTGTGGCTGTGGCCTTAAATTTTTATTTAGTATCGAAGAACCAATAGCACCCGACGCCGGTCGGGCCAACTTCCGTCAAATATAAGTGCTTCACTAGCATTGAAGCGTCATTATTATCTGCTCGAGAGTAGGCTTTCGAATAGTGTAAATAATGTCTTTCGAATAGTGTAAATTTTTAATTAGTACACTTCAGTGTAAAAGCCTCTACGGTGTCATGAATGCCAATGAGTGGTTCACTGTAGATGTGAATCTGCAAACTAAACAAAATTTGCTGATTGTTGTTTCGTGACAAAGCAGTTTCAAGCCACGCGAGTACGAAGATCAGGCAAATATATATATATATTCTAGTTCCCTCTTGTGTACATATATGGAACTTAATGGGGAAGGCAATTCGCAACTTCCAGGTACTATGGCGCCGCTGAGCGGTGGCGTCCGGAAGCTCTGTTGAGACGTTTGAAGTTCTGAACCTGCGTCACGGACGCTGCTGCTTGTTTTCACAAGTTTGTGGTCGTTTTTCAACGCTGTGAACGGTCTCGATATTACCGTAAACCTTTCAGTTTCAGAAGTTAAAGGGAAAATTTCACTGCGAGCATCAAATTAGCGCCCCAAAAAGTCGTCAGGGGTTAAGAGGTTAAATTGAGCAGGCAAATAACCTAGTCCCATGAATGTATGCAGCACACATTTTCTGCACGAGTACAGCAACTTTTAGGTTTGCACTTATCGCGCTTATTCGTCTGCTCGATACGGTACAATTTTGGGCACTCTCAACATGCTACCTCTGCATTTATTTACTTATGTTACTTATGTATGTTAGCGCGCCCCTACTTTCTCAACATAAATCCAAGGGCCACCGAAGCGCAAAGAATTGCACTATTCGCCAACAGTGTACTTTCCGGTATAGTCTATATCGAGGTGATAGAGAACCGCCATGTTGGATGTATAGTAGCGCCACCAATAGGTCGTGCGGATAGTTTTTCGAGGAGGTGAGGGGAGGTTGGTCTGTTTGCGTCGGCAGGATCGTGTGTTGACAGCGCGGCGAAGCGATTGACACATCGCCGCGTGCTGGTTCGCCCGGTCGCGTGCAGGTTGCCGCCCGGTCGTTTAACCCGTTGCTGACGACAACGCCCGGTGTTTTGCCGCGCGCCGGCTTGTTTACATTTTTTGTCGTCTTCCTGCTGCGTAGTTTGCCTCGGACGCTCTCCGAGAGTAGTGTGGCAAAAGCGGTACTCGATGCAAGCCTAACCTACCCTCTCAGTTCATTTTTTTTTTTTTTTGAACGACAGCAGTTTCCTCTTCACTGCTAGAATTGGCGTTTCGGCAGCGAGTTTTCCGCTGGCGTGTTTAAACAAAGCAGCCTTTTTAAAAGAGTGTTTCGACATAGCCCACGTGTACAAACTAATGTTGTTCTGCAAACGTAATGGGACTCTACGCCTGCCGCTTAATTTCATAGTGAACTACAAAGTGCCACTGAGCAACGTAGTTACTTCGAAATTGACCCAATTTTATTAATTTATTTCGGGGAGCAGGTTGATTGAGCAAGAAAATGGGATCCGGCATAAAAAAACAACTTTTAGTAATATCCGACTGCCTTCCTGATTGTTGAACAGATTGTAGACCAGATAGAGGGAACACACGCGCGCGTACTGAGAAAATATGTTCGATAGGTGTGTTTTGTCTTGATCTGACCACCTGGCTGCTGGTCCGCATACTTGAGAAAAAAACCAGGAAGTCTTCCATAATTGCTGCCCCCCTCGTTTACACACGACCACCCATACGCCGTGTTTGCGGAAATTATTTATTGTTCGTCTCGCGGGTGACGGAGGGGGGGGGGAGGCTAATAATGGGACCTATTAACGCCGCGTTGTCGGAAATGCTCATTTAGGTTCAGTTTCCTTTTTAAACTGACGTTACCTGTACGAGTACTTTATCCCTAGGCGATTTGCACTGTTCAGCTTACACCGTTTCGTCTCCTCGCTCGGAGCGGCAACAAATTTTCTCTTCACGAAAACCTCAATAACCGTAGGGCACGCTTTTCCGGCTAGGTGGCGCAGCGGCCTGTGACGTAGCGCCGCGGGCGCTCCCTTCTTTCTCGCTGCGAAACGGGTCACCCCTTGAAATGAAAGAAAAAAAAAAGAAACAAGCAGTGGTACGCGGCATCGGCTACTGCGGCCGGAGGGAAGCGCGCCTGCCACGTAGGTTGACGTTGAAGGAGGAAGGGGAGAGACTCAGCGGTCGGTAGGGGCGGGGGAGGGGGAGGGAGAGGAATGGAAGGATAGCGCAGCGTGTAAAGATGGCATTCCTCGAACGCCGAAAACGCGGTGGTCCATCCGCGCTCCGGTACTCCGGGCTCGTTTACATACTTGCTATTATTACTGTTTCATCTTCCCGCGAGGAGAAGAGCGGTCGGTCGAAGAAACAGCGTCGTCATCGACGTCGGCGCCTGACGTCATCGCTCCTCGGCTACGTCACGCCAGGCATCGTAGCTGCTCTCCGCCGCTACTGCTAGCGGCGCCGCAGATAGTGTAGTGCTGCGCCCGTTCGTGGGCCGTGTCTTCCGATCTGCTCCGTTTTTTCTTAATTCATTTAGTGTGGTTGGTTTGCTGCACTGTGCGGGTGCGCAATGCAACACCTCGTCGTCTTCGCGCTCTACGTCCGCTGCCTTGTGCATTGCTCGTCGTCGACGCTGTCCAGGGCTTAGCGCGTCCGGCGGTGTCCCTCAGCGGCGTCCCGTCATGTGCGGCGAGGCCTCCGAGCGGAGGTGGTGCTACCTTGTCGTCGCTTCGTGCGGCGGGCCGACGTAATGGCAGCGCCCATGCGCTACGCTAGGAAGAGGCGTGGGCCGGCGGCGGCTGCGTCTGCAGCGGCCGCTGCTAACGCAGGCTACGTGCCGGCGCCCGTCGAAGGTGGTAACGTTGGCGAAGTGGTCGAGGACTTCAGCAACAGCGCCAGCGGCACCTACTTGATCCTGACGGACAATCCCACTTGGTGGAGGCATCCTTTGGATACGCGTGCCTTATCTCGTGAGCAACCGCCCAACCCTGTCCACTCGCGGTGTTATTTCACTTTGGGGAGAAACGGCGCGCTTTTGTCCCGGTGTGTCTTTTTGGTAGGTAGGAAACGCCGGCAGTGGCGGTCGTGTAACGTTTGCACGTTATGGAGTCGTACATGTTCAAGAGTAATTTTTACTACTTTAATTGGAAATAATTACTTCTTTAATGGGAATTAATTACTACATTAATGGGGATTTGTACTACTTTAAGTGGAACCATTTAGATTTGAAGTGTCATTCAATGCCCAATTCTTTCTAATCTGGATTTGTTTACGCAGTATAGGTAAACAGCTCTGAACGCCGTGATGAGTAGCTGATTCATAGATGGCTAACGGTGTTCCCATGTCTGCTCTTGTTTCCGCCGCGCTGGGATACCGTAGTGTGTATTAATGTGTCCAATAACGGTCGCCGCAGTGTACGAGTAGTGGGCTACGGAACTCGCCTGTTTCCTGGCGAGTCCATCTGTTTTCCCTTCCAGCATGGTGTAGGAGGACGTGTTTCCATTTTTCTGTTCAGCCCCAGGTGGTCGAAATTTCCGGAGCCCTCCACTACGGCGTCTCTCATAATCATATGGTGGTTTTGGGACGTTAAACCCGACATATCAATCAATCATTTTTCTGTTCAGGTTCGTGTTATTGGTTTGGCGTAGCGAAGCGTCTCCTGCTGGCTTCACATATGGCGGCAATGTGACTGTGCGCGTTTGTCAGTGGGGACTTTTAGAATAGCGCTAGCAGATTTTTAGAAACACTAAACCTAGTGTTTTTAAATAACGCTGACTTTTAGTGGCCGTCTAATGTGTTTGTTCGTACCTAATATTGGGGGGGAGGACAAGTATTTAATGTGCTTTGCAACAGTATCTCAACGCCGCATAGCAACGCTAAGCTAGCCTTCTTCCGCGACCTGTCTTTAATTTCGGGTCTTCTACCGATCTGTCGGCGAACAATTGACAATGCAAGGCTTTGTGTTCAAAACAATGCTCGTGTCTTTTTTTTTTTTTGCAATGTTTTGTACACTGTCCTTGACTTCTTTGGATCAGTATACAACACAGAACGCAGAACCCAGTGCAGGTTTCTCGAGGTAAGTACTCTTCTTTCAGTACAGTCTCTGTTTGCACATGGCACTGTTCGATTTTCAAATGGTTTTTGAAAGATGGGGATTCAATTTCGTGCTACAGATTTCTTGGTGGTGGGTGCTCCTTACGGTGCAGCATGCCCTTGCATTTCTAAGGCCGTTAATAGGCTTTTACTTGAAAGCTAATTTTACAATCTTGTAAACCAGGCCTGTGAATTGCAAGGGAAATTATCTGTGTGCATTCGCTGCATTGTTGAGGCAAGCATTGTCTAAACAGGACACTTCCTTTCTCTTTTTTATGTGTTCCTGACTGGGTGCAGAAGACTACAGATTGCAGCACGCCTACGTAAGTGTTTGCTCCTTGCATGTTGAGTAATGTCTTTACTGCCTCTCTGAAATATTGGCTGTGCTCTTGGCAGTTGCTGGGACCCTGCAGTTTGCGTGTAGTGCAGAAACCACAGTTGCATTTTAATAGGTTATTGCTGTTCTGTTCGTTTGGCACGCTGATTGGCTTCCATTGAGGTTAGCAGAGCCGACATGCTAAATTTTGCAGGTGTTGCACTGAATGTGTGCCTTGCGCAAATGTTTTGGCGACAAAACAGCCTCTCACTGATAGTCTCTGGATCTGGGTGCTGCTGTGTGTGGACAAATTTGTGGTGGTCACATCAGGGCCCTAAAGTATACTCTCGCAAACTCCTGCTTGGTTTTGTGCTGCTTCTGCTGCTCTACATTTACTTGATCCTGTGCATCCTGTGGTCATCAAGCTGTGTTTTGAGTGCAATAACTTCACTTTGTGCAGCCACTACAGAGAGGGGGCGTGGGTAGCGCTGGCGGGGCTCATGAGATGAATAAGCAGGCGCTGGGGTCAGCAGCCTCCCCCACCAGGTGGGCTGTACCTGGCCCAGGGTCCCTCGCCCCTGGGACAGGGTCCCCCCCAGCAGCCTCCTCAGCCTCAGCACCCCGGCGCCATGGTGAGCATTATCGTGTTTCCATTATGTGTGGGTTGTAGTAGCGTGAAAATGAAACGTTAATCATATAAGGTTAACTGCAAGAATACCTTTAAGCTGCTTGGTCTCTTCCGTGACTTTCTGCTTAATCAACTCCTTTTGTTGCTCCGGCAGCACGTGGGTCAGGCCTACTACCAGGCCAGGCAGCCTCAGCAGGGGCCTCCACAGCCTCCTAACCCACAAGCAGCACCACCACAGGTGAGCACAGTCCTCTGGTAATGGTGAGCTTGTTGTGGGGTCTTGCTTTAATGTGTCTGTGGGACTGTTGCTTTTAATCACGATTGAGCTTAGCCCTCACCAAATTTTTAAGGATGTCAAAGAATTTAAATTTGATTGGTGTGCATCTTGACTCTTATTGTATTCCCATGAGTACTGCATGAACCGAAAATCTTGTGAAACGTCGCAACCTGATGTGGACAAAACTTGGTGTGTTATAAAATAGTTTGAATTGATTGAGTTTGAAGCCAAATTGAATGTGTACCTCAGGTTAGCACATTAAGTGTTGATGTGTACAGTTGTGCCTGCCAACTGTTGAAGGTTTGCCATGCACCACGGGGTTGCTTCAACTGTCTTGAAAAGGGACATGCACGTTTGTGGGTGCTTGTCGGGCAGCTAATGTTAAACTTCGTTGTTTCATGTATTGCTGCATAGGATCTCTTTGCTTGAGGGCTGTCGTGCGACAAGTCATTCTGATGTATCACTGATGGTAGTATTGGGACTCTAATGATTAGTTAACAGGAAAATGCACAAATGGAACATATTCCACATTCAGTTGAATACAGTGTTTAATACAATTTAAACATGCTATAAACACTACACTATTTTAATATCAGCAGTGTGTGCACGCCCGTTCAAGAAGACTGTTATGCATCAGTGATTAAACTCTACATCTGCCTTCGTTTCCAATGGTCTGATAGTTCTGGCACTTTACTGCTGTCCCATAGGCTGTAGCTGCCACATTTCGGGAGAGGCAAAAAGGTAGATGCTGTCGTGCTGTTTAAGAGCACTTAAGATTCTCATATACCGTATTTACTCGCATAATTCCTCGCACTTTTTTTGGCGGAAAATCGATTTCATGCAAACGTACTAATTATGCTTACTAATTATAACTAATTATAGTACTAATTATAACTTACTTCTACAAAGATTTCTTTGAGGCACCAAAAAAAGGGCAAGCTAATTAGAATACCATACGCAAAGCTTGTGGGAGTTATAGGCGTAGCGGTAGCGTTCGTCACTCAACAGAGTCCCTGAAACGGTAAGCATAGGACATCAGTATTGGGCTGATGGTTTTTTAACAGAATCGTTTGCAGTTTCCTTCTGACGAAATAAAGTTTACCATCAATCCGAGTCTTAGGCCACCGCAGGCCCAACACGTCTTGGTGGCTTTTAGCCGCCGTTGCCAGTAGGGAACACAACTCCGAAGGGCCTACCGGCGGCCCTGTTGCCGTTATTTAGTGCATGATCAATCACTTTCAACTTGGAAGCAGCCGTGTAGTTACAGTATCTCCCCATGTGACAAGATTACTGACAACATACAAAATACGCCGCAATGCTTGAATTGGATTGAATCTGCGCGAAATAATAGCACGCTTGATGCTTAAGATCTGGCACCAGATGGTGTGCGCAGTCATCATCAATAGCTGGAACAAGCAGACGACATTATTGCGGCAATTTTTCGGGGTGCGATAGTTACTCGTGGAGAAAAAGAAATCGTATCTTTGTTTCCGAGAATTATGTGAGAACTACCTTAATTACGCAAAGTAATTACGATAGTTGAAATTTCTATAGCCTTCCACTATGGTGTCTCTGATCTTGTAGTTAACCGAGAAAGACGGTACATATACGAGTGCAGAGTACACCTTCAGTTGTACTGCATTTCTGAGTCTTCTACAATGTACCAACTCGCCCATATCGGTCCTGATCTTCTAGATGTTTAAGTCAATGCACAGATCGCCATTGTTGTGATGCACTGGCACGGTGGAGCAGCATGCTTTAATATGCTGATGTCACTTGTGGAGCATGTGAAGTGAGGGTGCACGCGGTGGTTGTCGCAGGTACAGGTGGGGCCCCAGCAAGTGGGCGCTGGGGGCGGACGCGGTCCTGGCGGTGGTGGGCCCCCTGCTATGGGCCGACCGCCTCCCCTGGCGCAGGCGGCACAGCTAGCCCTGAGCCCTCTAGGCACGCCCCCTGGTGCACCCCCCCAGACCCCCGTGGCGGCAGCCGGCTACCCTGGTGCTCTGATGCCGAACTTTGCCAACCAGGCAGCGGGGTACCCGGCACCACAACACATGTCCCAACAACCAATCATATTGGGCAACTGCATGGTCAGTTTCGCAAATCGCTATACCTTCAATATCTGTTTACAGTAGGCTCTAAGTAAACTGTAATCCCATAAATTTGCTTAAATTGAACAGTAGCCGCTGATAAGCTGCTGATTGTACCAGAGTTCTGCACCCTTATTCATCTCTGTCTGTACACAAAACTCCTGTCAAGCTGAAAAAAATTTTCTGGCCCCTTCAGATCTATTTAACAACTCTACTTTAAATGGCTGCTTAAGGGGAGCCTATGGAGATATTTGAAGTATGCAATAATTTTTCTTGCACGTACGTCAGTTGGTTTGTACAATAAGTCCAACGTACCGTGACTACAGTACAAGAAAAAGTAACTCATCTGTCGCTGAATCCATCGATCTGAATTGCGGACTTCAGTTAGGCCTTACATACGAAAGGACTGCTGTAATCTCAATAGGTGGATAGCAAAATCTGTGAATTGTAGGCCACGTCGCCCCTCTGCACAGACTTACAATTCGAGGCGCCGTGATGCTGTGCGGGCATTCTTGCCAGTGGCGCCAATTTTTCGCATGTTCCACGTTCCACTCATGGTGCCCTTTTCTTACAAATTGCTGCGTAATACTTTGGAGTGCTATGCAGCATGATTGAATAGAAATGCAATCACTACGAGTGGTGATTTTTTTCATTGAAGTGGCTTCTCCGGACACATGCCTGCCTGTTGTTTTGCAGAGATGTTTATATCGCGCATATTTTAGTTGCATACAAAAATTTTCTGCACATCATAGGATCACAAAAATCCGTTCACTTGTTGTCATGTTGCTCACACAACCGTTAAAATTATTTATCAACTTTTGGGTTGCAAAGATACCATTCCGGGCTCGACATAGCGAATGGCTGTAGTAATGTGCGTCGAACGCTATAAATGAAACATGCTCGTATTGTTTTTTTATGCCTCTAAATATCTCTAAACAAGGTGTCGTACCTCACACGCTCGAACAATGTTTTTCAATGCATGCAAAATGATCCACATTAAAGGGCCACTCACCAGGCCCCATACCGAATTTTAGTTACAGTGGAAGTTGTTGGGTGTCCGATGAGGAACGTTTTGCCACAAAATTTTTCGAATCGGTTCATTACGAGCGGAGAAAACAGGTTTTTTGAAGTAGTGCGAAACGAGGGTGAGGAGGCGAGCTCGAAACCTTTGCAGTTCCGTAGCCTTCGCAAGCCAAATCTCTTCCCCACCCTCTCCGGCACCCGACCAAGAGATGACGTTCGCAGGACGTGCCCGAACAAGCCCAGCCCCAGTGCGGCGTTGCTTTGTTGCAGAGCGGTGTTGCTTTGTTGACCAGCGTTATATTGTGATCTTATGCCTGTTTCTGCGGGATTGTTTGGAAACGCTGGCTTAGTCGCGGTAGAATAGATGAGCACAATGAGTGCGCGAACGCTTAGCACTCTATGGCGATCGCCTGCTTAATGCGCTGACCGCGGGGACCCGAACGTATGCGAAACGCTGGCACATTAGCCCCGCAACTCGTAGCATTTTGAGGGAAAAAAAATGTAAAAAAAACGCGCACAATTTTTTGTTGCGTCTCATTATTTATTTCAACTTTTATTCATCTCTTAAAGCAACAAATACATAAACTACGCATGTTGTGTTAAATCATTTTTGCTATGCCACGTGGTATACTGTTGACAATGTCAGAGCAGAGTCATCTACGTAGAGGACCAACGTTACCGCATTGCCGTGTACGTAGGGCCATTCCTACACCCATGTCATGCCCTCATTCTCTACGCTTGCGCCGGTAGATGGGAGGGGGAGCAGCTTTCATCTTGAAATTTAACCCATTTCCGCGGCGCTTAGCATTGCGAATTTTGGCAGACGTGATTATGAACGCCTCGTCTACGCATTGTGCTTGTCAGCTCAAAATTGTCAAACATGGTGAGTGGCCCTTTAAGTGTACAGGTGTGCAAGATAGCCTTTAAGGCTATAAGTGAGTATAACATGACCTATCGGCACTTCACGCTTGCAAGTCTGACACAACAGACGCCAAACCATGCTACTCGTTACTTGAAAAGTTTCAAGTCGCACAATATTATTTGGTGGCTCCTTTGTTCTGTGGGCTTTTTATTCCCTCGCCTGTTTCAATTAATTTGACAGACAGCGATGTAGAATTAATTTGACAGACAGCGATGTAGACTTTACAATAGAAATATACTCTATCGGCATACTTGATTGTGCAAAGTGCACGTACGTATGTAAACATTGTACGTATATTGGCATATGACAGCATGTGAACAGATGTTCGAGTGATTTGAAGTGTTCTCGGTGCACTTGAAAATACTAAATCGAGGCGATTCTGAAAAATTACCCTTGTGTTTCAAAGCATAACCACACGCTCTGCATAAAACTGGTTTCTCAACGTTCCTCATTTTCGCCCATATCTACGTCTCCCTTCGTTCGCTGAAATGCGTGAGATACCATTTATCCCTTCACAAAAACGAATTGAACAGAATCATTGAACAAACGGCAGTAAAAGCGTCTCGGAATTGCACGTGTTTGCGGGGTGTTTCCATCCTGATTATACTGTGCAGCAGGCACCGTGAAGCAGTAAAGGGATAGGCCCTTTACTTCAGGTTCTTATTTCAATGTGGCAGTGTCTGGCCATTCGAATGTGTGTGGAATCCAGCTGCAGCCCTATTTTTTAAAAAGGGCCCTAGTAGTAATGTGTATCCACTTGTGCCGAGCATAGCTTGTTGTATGGCTGATTTGTTGTGTTTGCCCCACTTTTCTTTAGATTACAGATACTAATCTATGGATGGTAAGTATTTGCAAAAAATATTCTCTCGGCTTCTTCCTAGTTACAGCAGAATGATCTGCTGGTCATTGTTTATAGTAGAATGGAAAAGACCATGAAATATAAAGACAGAACCCAGCATTCATGACTCTGATTCATATTTTCAGTCTGCTTAAGCTGAGATGCTCCATGAAACATTTACGAGTTATAGAGTTTGAGCTCCTTTTTTAAAATCTGCTTTTATTTTTTTCATGGCTCATTTAGTTAATTTTTCACAGACCATGCATTTGTAAAAACAATGCATTTTTGTGCAAGCTTAGGCTACAATAGTAAGCACAAGAAAGCTTTAAGAAATGGCAAATGTTAGTCGTAATGAATCGCAGAATTTAATAAAGCAAAGAAACATTGTGTATAACATTTTCGTGCTGACCTAGAAAAAAATTTTTTATGCTGAGTTTGAGTTTTATCATACTTGAAGATTATTTCAGCTTCTGAAATAATCTAGCTGAATATGCTTTGGAGACCTCTGAAAGTTTGAATTCAGGACATGTCGGCAAAGCTATCTTGAAAACGTTTCAGAATAATTCAGCCTTATATATTGGACCCTTACAGTCTCTGCAAGCTAAGCTGCCTCCTCTCGATGGGCCTTTTTTTTTTTTCGGTACTACAGCGATGGGTCGTTGCTTTCGGGCTGTGCGAGGTTTTCGGCGGCAGTATACACTTTTTTCGAATGGCAGTTCTTGTGGTTTTCGAACACCAATGATTGCACAAAACTGCACGAGCTGCTCCTGTCAGACTCCGATTGCATGCCGTGCAACCACCCGCTTAAAGCTCACAGCGAAGCTGTCCGGTGCATTGCCGCTGGCAGAGGTCTCCTCGCTTCCACTGCATGACTGATACACGTGGCTTCACGCGTACATGGACGAAACAACAGTTGCAACGCATGCGTAATTTTGGTGCTAAAGTTCCGAAAACGATGCCTGTCCTTACCGTCTACTTGCCATTACTCTAATGAACAGCTCGCACCGTCCGCAGTTGGAGCATACTGCGCCGCTGACCAGGTTCGGCATCGCATCGGTCTCGCAAATAAATGTGCTCCCGCATTCGTCCTGACACTTTCTTTAGTAGTTGAGCATCTTTATCTTTCACTCTGGAGCACTGACAAAGTCATTGACGCTAGGAATGAAGCTCGAACAATCCAAATTGGATGCGTCGCTGCCGTCGCGGCTAGGCCTAGCAGCAGGCGAACCTCTCCTTGGTGCTCACTGCTTGTGTTTGGGGCGCCTTCCCTCGTACTGGTTCCGCGTAATGAACTTCCGTGAACGAAAGCGTTTCTCGCCGGCATCCATGGCGCGGAAATAACCCGGGCGGTTGTGTTCGTCGATGTCTCGGCAAAAGCAGGAGAATGAAGAAAGCGCTCGCATCCGACTGCGCGGCGGAATGCTCGCAACATATGGCAGGGCTCCGATCATACCACGTGACTTTGAAGGCCCACTCGCCACAGGAGAATGAAGTGGGAAAACAATTGTTTTGTTTTTTTGTTGTATTTTTAGCGTGAATGCCGCTCTGCTGAAGTGGGCCCCGAGAGAAGAGGGTTAGAGCGAAGTGCCGCGTGTGCGAAACTCGAGTGATTTTGCACTTTCACCAGCCCCTGCGAGTGCTTTAATTGTAGTTTTTGATAACATCTAGTTGATTCTCCGCTTTGATTTTTTTAATATAGTAAGGAGAAGGCTGGGAGGTATACAAAAACAAAATAGACTTTTCGACACAAAACCCACATCTCCCCCTTCAAAGCAACAAAACCCATTACGTTGTGTTGCCTAGCAGAAGAGCCTTGAAGCTTGGTTATGGAATATGCTGTTAATTGCTTCGCTCTAAGTACTTGCATAGTCTGATGCTGTCATGTGCACCAGTCCTTGAATTTAGCATATCTAGCTGAATCCTCCTATCAGAAGGCCGATAGAATGAAATTTCTGCCACAATGAGCAATTTTTCATGAAAATATATAAAAGTTCCACCACATTAGCATAAAGAACTTGCCTAACATTTGCGCTAAATTCCGCTGCCAACCGGGTCATTTCACGTTTGCTCATGACTTCCAGAGCGGTGTGGCTGCAATCTAAACGCCCTTGTTTTCATCGGAGGCACATTTTCTTCCACCACAACTCATTGCGGTAAATTTTTCGCTGTCAGCGCTCGGCGACAGGTCGCTCGTACACCATGACGCTGCAGGTGGGTTTGATGCACGTTCGGTACTCGGGAACTCCTGCAATGTTTTCGATGTCACATTCGAGACGATAGTGCCACTTCTCGTTACTAGCTCTGCGACCAAGAAAGACAACCACAGCGTTAAGGCACACGCACACCTAGTGTACACCCAGTTCTGCTGCAACCACTGAGAACACAAATGCGGTAGCGTCGACGCGATCATTGGTGACCACGAAAGTATGCACGTATCCAACACTCGCAAACCATGGCTGCTTGCCACCTGTCTTCAGATGGCAACGACTCGGGTCTCTGGGCACGGGCACGACCAGGGCACGCAGATACAAAACTGAACTACCATGTGCTGCAATCACTAAGCGGGAAACCGTGGTTGCTATCATGCGTACATCGATAGTGAGTGTGCTTTGAAAGTATGCAGCTGATATAGTTGAAGATTAAAGGCAATAAAGCCGTCAAGCAGCATGAAGAGTTGCTGCTTTCCTATCGTTCGCCTATGGCCATGGTAGTGTGGAGCTTTGGCAGCACTTTTTACTGTCTTTGTAGTCCTATGCAGTTTTTACATGTGCTTCAAACCTTTGTTCTTTGTAGCGTTGCTTGGGCAGGTTCATTCACGGTGCTGCGTATGCTGAACCCTAGGAGGGCCGTCTGAATATGTATCTTCTCTTGCATAACCTGCCCTGCGTATAACCGCCACCTCCATGTGCAAACCATGTGAGATAGAGTACCCTCGTATTATCACAAGGCTGCCTTCCCTTTGGCGGGGGGAGTACGTGCGGAGAGGGCATTCGCAGCACAGGCTTGCAGGGTCTGGTTGCTGTCCGCACGGCTTTCTTGCAGCTTTAGTGGAGTGAAGTATAGCAATTTAACACCCTAGCACATTGTATTTGCACTCTTTGCTGCAGCATAGTTTGCTTATCTTGCGAGTGACCTCAGTTTGTGTGAGGAAAGGCTTGTTTATGCAATATATTGCTCTGTCTTTGTCTTGATATAGAAAAAAATATCCCCTGTAGCAGCAATTCAACCTTTTGTGTGCTTTTACCATATTTAGCTTTTGCAGCCGGCAAGCTTCTGCAGCACATAATGCGGCTGTTTGATTTCTTTACCAGCTAAGAGCAGTTTCGCTTTCGTTCATTACACCAGTTGGTTGCAGCAGATTATCTTGGCTCTCCATGTGCCGTATCGTAAATGTGGTAACCGTTTTCTAGGGTTAACTATTTCGTGTTTCGTCTCGAGAAGTTTTGACCTTGCATGGAAAGTCGATTTTCAAAATAATGCAGTGAATTGAATTTACCAGTTTCTATGAGATTTCACTGTACAGCCACAAATTGTACCAGTACGGATGGGAGTTGCTGATCAGACGGGGTTCAACAGAAATAGGATGTGAGCAGAGGTCGGCTGAAATGAGAGAAATGAGCATTGAACAGTTTCTTTCTAGATGAAACCTGGGGGTACGCTTCAGGTTAGGGCACGCCACTTCGTTCGGACCGTCGATTTCTTCCAGCTGTTTTTCACTGCGCTGCAGCTGACCAACAAATATGGGTGAATGCATATTTTAGAGAGGCAGATATGTGCGAAAAGGGACTATTCGTGGAGCAACTCCAGTCCCGATAAAGTGATTATTGCATTGGACTGCTCATCTACATGGAAAATGTTGAATTGCCTTGCCTTCATCTCTACTGGAATTTGAAATTATGACCAAAAGCCAGGCCCCGGCCACGATGGCAAAATCCACAGGATAGCCCATATACTGCTGCAACCCCACTTACTTTTTTGTGGACAGGTTCTGGCAATAAGTTTCAATAAGTTTTGAAACTTGTACAACCTTTTCGCCACAAAAGAAGCTTCGAATTGTATATCGTAAATCATTTTAAACTCATTTTTCATGTATAAACTTTTATAAACTTTTCTCTTAATGTGGGTAGTAACAAATATATATGCAACGTTTGTGCTATTGGACAGAACATTTTTAGCTACAGTTTGGTACGAAAGAATGTGAATAACGCATTAGGATCTAGCTGCAAAAAAAGTTTTTTATTCAATAGATTGTGCCAAATAATAGTGCCATTTATTGAATATAAAAATTTATTGAATATAAAAATTTTCCACCCTTGTTCATTTCTGAACTTGAACACCTGGTACAAGGAACACATTTTCTCGGCCCCTTCAAGTTCAGAAAGTGCTGATGTTGAATGACTCTGATGAGTGAATTGATCTATCATCGCAATTGTGTACCGTTTCTAGTGAATTTATTATGATGTCGTGTTTTTGCAGCCGTACTCTCAGCGGCCTGGCCAGTTCAGTCCGGCACCGCAGTTCGTATATCACCAACCGACATATCTGCCAGCCCAACCAGGTAGGTACACCTAGGTTGTGCTCGACAAATATTGGCAATGCAGAACGCTGCCAATGTTGGAAACAAATGCTGTTACGGGGGAACCTGCATTATCAGAAGTGTCTTAAATAGGGAAATGTGCAGTTTCATCATGATGCATCAGTTACATCATGCTATGTGGTTCAACTTATATGGCCTACTCGTGGGAAGCAACGTGCTCTAGCGAAACATGCCACAAAGCTGCAAATGGTGTTGATCTTTACTCAAAAGAAGACTATTGGGTATGACAATCTCAGAATCTTTTTATAGCGATCATCATGGCTGCCTACACACAGTCAGAAACACTGTCATGTAGTCATCTTGTAGAAAAAGAAACCTGAGCCATAAACAAGAATTCTAAATTGTCAGACCCTCAAAAAAAAATGTTTTGGGATTCGGAAAAAAAATAACTGCATCAAAATCCATCCAGCTCTTCCCGCGCTACTTTCCACATGTCCACATTCCCGTGCTACACAGCCTCATTTTAATATTGCGGATCAGCTTTACCTGTCAGTCTTGTCAAGGTATTGTTTTGAACACCGTTTAAAACACTTCCAATCACTTCTTCCTTTAATGCTAATCCTGCTCGCTGCTTGCCATGCGAATCAATATTGAATGTATATATATTGAATATATATTGCTGCCTTTTGTGTGAGCTGTGAATGGCTTCTCTTTGTGCAGCCACGCAGATGTTCTACAACACGCAAGGTATGGTTTCCGTGTCCCTACCGGCTAGTGGTGGGCCGCCCCAGGTGCAGGCACCCAGAGGGCAGCAAGCCTACCAGCAAGGTGCCTCGCAGCTTCAGCCGCGGCCGCGGTGTATCATCGAGATCAAGGACCCCGTCACGGGCAGGAACGTCCTCGAAGATCTCAAATCGACCCCTGACGAGACTGCGCCGGTGAGCGGCCCTTGTTGACTTTCCTCGCACTGGAAAAACGGAGGAAAATAAAAAAAACAACACTGCCAGAACATTTTTGTACTGTCTTGTCCCTTGGGTAGCATTGCATGCTTCACCTGGGGTGGCATCTGCACCGCAGCCTATGACGGGCAGTGCACCTTGGTGGTTCGAAAACGTGCGCGAAAATGAGACCTCTGTAGTCGCACTAACTACGGGGTGGCATATAAATGTGTGCACACCTTTGTTTGCACGATGTGCATGGCTAAAATGCTACAGTGAAACAGTTAGATGAACTCTAAATACGGCTCAAATCCTGAGAAGCCGCAAATAAAAAAGTGACCGAGAAAAATTGCATTTCCAAAACCAATAAATACATTTCTTGCCGATAAAAGTAAACTGGAAAAAGCCATGGCTTGCACAGTGAAACTACCTGCTGGAAAGCATGGCTGAAGGAACCAATAAAATATTATTTTAGCTTACTGTGAGGGAAAGTTCTCTGTAAAGTTTACAGAGTTCACTGTACAGTCTTTTAAAATCTGCATGTAACCTTCAGTTGAACTGCCTGTTTGATTGACATTTCTAAGCCTGAAAGATATGCAATATTTTAAGTATGAAACCTTAAATGTGGTATGCAAATATGACTCGTACATTAATTCAAGAAATCAATGATAGCTTTCGTACTGCACCCCTGTCATCTTTTAGTAAACCCAACTTTTGTTCAAGAGAATTGCAGCACTTGCACTGGGTTCTGATTCATGTTGCCATATCATAAGGTGTGCTAAAATTTTGCATTTCCAGCGTACCAGGTATTTTATACTGCCTCTGATTAACATTTGCATACACTGCAATTTTAATTTTCAAAAGTTAATAAGATTGCACTACTTCAAACACCTCAAATCTCCTTAGGAAGCCCCAAAATTTTCTCTTAAATAGACTAGTCAAACTTTACAACTAGTCAAGCTTTACAACTTTGTCAATAGTGCATTTTCAAATTAAGTCTGAATGGCAAGGATTGTTAACTTGCATTCAACAGTTCAGACTTTCTTAGTGGAAGTCACTTTTAAAAGTAACTGATGGTAACAAATTGCAATCTTGAAGTTCTCCTGAAGTTCATTTTGCAGTTTCACTGTACCATAACCTCTGAATGTTTTGTTGCTTGCAGCATGTCCTGGTGATAACACGCCTGGCATATCAGCATTGTGTCGGCTTTACGATTGCATGAGAAACGAATGTAGAAAAATCTCACAGAAACAAAATATTGGATCAGAGAGGCGTGATTTTTCCTGTTTAAGGGGGCAGACTGGTATTTGGGACCAAAAAGTGACAAAATTCATTTTTTGAAATTGACATATCTGATTTCTGCAAGTATTTTTCTTTCACTGCAAATTTTCACACACCAGGAACTGGTAATTTTTCTTAAATGTCATTATTAAATGTCTTAAATGTCAGATTCTTAGTGCTGCAGAACCTGAAAAAAAAGGGGGGGGGGGAACAGACTTTGAAGTTTCTGTATTAGAAACTCTGCTACTATTTTATGAGCACCTTTATGAGGATTGCAAAACATGTGTGCCATGATTGTTGCTTTTTGAAGAGCCTGTTCAATTTTAAAGCCTCAATATCTCTGCAGCAAGGGCAGATACAATTGCTTTTGCAATTGAAACCTGTGTGTGTGTAGAATGCAAGTATGGGAGCAGAATTTATAGCAAATGCCTTTGCAATTAATTACTCATCGAAATTTTAACACAATTCCAACTGCTTTTGAAACTGGATACTTCATTATACTGTAAAATAACCAAGAAAGGCCCAAAAACAAACTCTTGCAGACTTTCAATCTATAGTCATGAATCTTTGTTGGCATATCTTAAACATTGCTTTTAATTAAGCATTTTTTCTCTATGATGGCCTTGAACAATAGGGGGTCTCAGCAATCTCAGCAATAAGACTAGTTGCAGGAAAACTTATTATTTGAAATCTGCAGAAAAAACTGCATAATCCTGTGCTGCTTGATCAAGATCTCTAAAGAAATGAGCAAAAAAAAGACTAGTCTGCCCCCGTAATTGTCGACGTGCAACGTGCAAGCATTTAAAACTTTTACAGTATTGACCCTAGACTAGTTGCAGGATCGTGTTGCGTAAAACTGCAATGTCTTTGAGGCGACAATAATGAATCCACTGTTGTCATAATGAGATGCATTGTGTGAGCCCGTGAATATTTAATAAGATCTTTCAACACACAGTCGCTTTGTATACTGTGGTCACTTCTGTATTTCAACTTCCAGTTACAAAATATTTTTGAATTCGTTCTGCAAACATGCATTGGTCAACACAATTGTGAATTTATTTAGTCATAGTTATGAAGTTTCTTTATAGAAGATTGTGAACAACTGTTTCAAATAAATTGTGAAAGTGACAGCCTACCTTGAGAATGATTACATTAACATTCTAGGGCTGCTTTTCAAACTATTTAACTATTTTAATAGTTTTCAATGCATATTCGATTCGGTGTCATAGCTATTCCATAGATATTCCAAAATTCACTATACACACACCCTTAGCTTAGGCTCACTTTGCAATGTTGTGCTGAAAAAACACAACAGTAACAGCACACTTTGTGCAAACACTCTGCATGTAGCACCAGTGTAATATGCAAAGCATGAGCGGCAAACATGTTCCTCCAGTTACTGGAGCGATGAACACTTACTGAAACATGCATGTACAACTCTTGCTTTCTTTTGTTCCCCATGGTGGTGGTTTTTCTATCGTTGAAATTATGCTACCACTCTGAATGGCATCTTTGCATTCATTCAGAGCACACTTTTATGGCACGCTTTTGACAGGGACGTAGTTGTGTGTGTGTGTGTGTGTGTGTGTGTGTGTGTGTGTGTGTGTGTGTGTGTGTGTGTGTGTGTGTGTGTGTGTGTGTGTGTGTATTCGTGTTGTGATTCATGCTTGTGTTTGCGAGCGAGGTCTATTTTAGTACCCAAGGAGTGTAATCTGAGACTCGTGAAGTGAGTCCTAAATGAAGACATGAAGTGAGTCCTAAATGAAGACATGAAGTGAGTCCTAAATATAAATGTCCTTCCCTGAGTGGGGCATAAATATCTATTTCGCCAGCATGTCGTTCTATTTTATTAATATAGTATTGGTATTGCTACTCTCAGCATCACTACTGTGTTGCTCTGCCTATGTCTCATCTTACATTTCAGCACTGCTCATTTGAGTTGGCCGCATGTGATGGTGACCACAGACCTTGCGGTCACGTCACGTGCCACGCAGTAGCAGAAAGTGGGATGGTGATGTTGTGATTACCATCCCAAGTTCTGCTATTGTGCTGTTTAGGTGCGGTCACCATCATAGGTTTTGCTACTGTGCTGTTCAGGTGGGTTCACCATTACAAGTTTTGCTACTGCGCTCTTTAGCATGTGGGAACATCGATGTTCAGCAATTCTTGCATACCACAGTGAGTGTGACTGGGTAGTGCCTTTTTTTGGAATTGAAACTTGTGTGTGTGTAGAATGCAAGTATGGGAGCAGAATTTATAGCACAAGCATTTTCAATTCATTACTCATCAAAATTTTAACACAATTCCAACTGCTTTTGAAAATGGATAGTTCATTTTGCTGTAATATAACCAGGAAAGGCCGAAAAAAGAAACTCTGCATTAAAAAGCACTTTTTTTTATGGCGGCCCTAAACAATAGGGGGTAAACCTAAATTATCTCGGGAAGTAGATGGGTTACAGGAAAACAAATATAAATGTCAATCAGCAGAAAAAACTTCGTAATCCCGCATAGTTTGATCAAGATCACTGAAGAAATTATATAAAAAAAAAAAACTCTAAGACGAGTCTGTCTCCTTAAATTGTGTATAGCGTCGCGTAGTGCTTATTGTACGCAACACCTACGACATCAGTGTAGCGGTCAGCAAGTAGAAAGTGAACATTTTTGGAAGATTACCCGCCAACGCGAGAAGACTTGGTGATGAGGACTGGCCAAGACTGGTACGTTGCACATCGCGAAACGCTCGAGTAGTTTAATCGGCAGCCTGAGATGCCACCACCATTTCTCAAAAATATTCTTAACTGGTGTGCCAGGTGGACTGAACAAGGGTGTTTGTTTTTGATTTGCAAAACACCTGTCGAGACGCCAGTTGCCAAGTTTGGGAAGAAGAGTTCAGTTCTTTCAATCAGTGAACACAACAAAGTGTGATAGGATCACACTCTTGTGCACCTTCGGACGCAAGTAATTTTCTATGGTCCCGGCAAAGCCCCATTAGCCTACAATGTGCAAGAATACAGTCGTGCCTGTGCGGTCGTTAGTCGTGCAGCTGTGATGAACTGTTGCACAGGCTTGTATCATGTGTCGCTGCTGGCGGGTTGGCATCATTGCACAATGGCTGCAAGTTGACCCCTTTTTGCTCACAAGCAAATCGCTGCAAGAAAAATCAAGTGGGAAGATCTTGTTAGAAAAAAAAAAAAGTTGGACATACAGTCGCCGACTGATTTTTTGGACCTGGCGAGGTCCAAAAAGTCGTTTTTGTCAGAAATATGAACTTTATTGCATTAGGTAGGCGAAAGCCCATGATTCTGCCTTGCCTCATACATGCTTGAAAGCAATTTGGTTCGCCCTTATTTGTGCCAAGGTGACATTGTCGCCATAAATGCTCGACAAAAGTGTCACCGCGGATGGCGATCTCCGCTGCCGACAGCTGCGGGTGATCGTCATCATCCGAACTGCTCTCTAGCTGAGGCACAACCTGGCGAAGAATTGTTTCGTCTGTGGGCTCCGCACACGAAATTGCCATCGTCCGCACGAGCGAAGTCCTTAAAAATGTCATCGTGGCAGGCACATCCACTGTAACACTGCGGTGCTCCGCCTCCTCCCTGTACGGTGTGACGACAGTGCTGACCACTATGGCTCACCGAAGACGAAAAAATGGTCCAGTGTCACGTTTTCTATAACAGACACGGCCTCCGTTTGCTTTCTAATCTTGAAGGCAGGAA